GGCACAGAGAGGTGAGGGACAGCCCACTGGGCAAGGGGTCCTTCCTGCCACCCAGGCAGGCTCCCTGCCCAGACTCACACAGTTACAGAAGTGCCATGAAGATATGACTTTATTCCAAGCACCTGAGTTTGGCAGGATTGTGTGTCCATCCTGCCACAGCTCTCCTACCTTTCCCAGCACTACAGTTACTGAAGTGATGGAAAAGGGATGGGGAGATCAGTAAAGGAAAGATGCCAGGGGAGAAGAAATGAAATGCAAAGATAAGTGCAATATCTGCTGAAATGCCATCCTCAAAATAGTTTATCAAAGTCTAGGCATAGGCACCAAACTCTTGACAGTATTAGGCTAGGAAAAGAGAAGTTTGCTTCCAAGAGTGCTTTCTAAGTACCTAAGTACTTTCTCCAAAACTGAAGTATTTTCCAGGTGTTGACTGTGCTAAAATAGCCTTACACATCAGTTTACTTGTTTTCTAGAAGAGGAAAGGCTGGAAACACCACATCTGGAACTTGGCCAAACTGCTGGGATGGAACCACACCAAGAGTTATGAGGTGGGGACTAGTCCAAGAAAGCTAAGACAGATATTAATGGGCTGTTTATATTTTCAAAGATCAGTTTGGCTGGAGGGCCAGATCTTTGCGGATCTATATGAGGATTGATCTTTCATATTTTCACTAGCAAGCTGGCATAGGAAAGAGGGGTATCTTAATGTCATTTGCTAATGAGACAAATTAGGAAATTGAAATTTTGTTTTCAAATACAGACAAAAGTTTCCAAATTTTCAATATACATTATATTTTCAGTAATATATTTTCAAGTACAACAAAAATTTTGTTTTGAAATACAGAAGAAGAGTAGAGAAACTGGGCTACCTTGAAGGCAGGAGTGGTGGAGATGGGATGAAATGCAGGGAAATGTGATGAGGTGTTGCCAGCAGGAATTGCTGCAGCAGGCAGGGAGGTCCTCAGCTGGCAACAACCAGGAAAAGGCCTGAGCCATTGCTCCAACATGAAAAAGGCAAATCTGATGTTTGGGTAATTGGTTCAGCAAAAAAATATTCATGAAGCATAATGGCAGGGCAGCGATGGGCCACAGCTGGACTCCAGAAGACATTTTCAGCCACAGCACATGAGATGAATTTTAATGGAAAGGAGGCAGAGCAGGTGGTGGAAGAACAGGGAACAGGACCTGGCAGTGGCTGGCGTAACCTGCTGGGACAGAGGCAGATGGCTCCCTACAAATATCCCTGGGGCACAGGAGGAAAAAGATCCTGTTTGAACTGAAGTGGATTGGCAGCACTAGTTGCCTGTAGTCTGGACCTATGGAGGGAATTATGCAGGGGACTGATAAAAATGATCCCTTTTTTCCCCTCTTTTTCTTCTCATCTTTTTTTCCCTCCCCACACAGACATTCTTGATAATAAATTGCTGCTATGCTTGTCAGCTCGTGAGCAGTTTTGAATGGTGGCTCTGGCTTCTCCATCTTCCTGCTGCTGCTACTTCTCCACTCTGATGATCCCAGCAAAGCAGAGGAGCTATCCTGTGAAATGCGTCCCTTTTGCCACATTGATATTGCTCTTTGCACCAAGCTGCCTGTGCAAAATCTGGAGGCAAAGCCATGCTTGAGCTAACATGTATCAGCAAAGTGCCCCAAAGCTTTGCTTAGGCATCATCAACTGTTCCCACAGCACCTGGCCAGGCTCTGCTGCACCCCACTGCCCACCTTCCCCGCTCCTCCCATGGATGAAAATGAGATGCCTTATTGGCATGGCAGAGGAGAGCCCTAAATTACAGGTAAGCAAAAGGCTGGTCCCCATGTGCTTTGCAGCCCCTCAGCCTCTGCTTTTCAGTCACCTTTTAATTTTTATCTTTTCTGGAGTCAATATTTTTAAGTCCCTGTCTGTGAAGGAGTTTAGGTGACACCTGAGCTAAACCCCACTGCCGAGGTGCAAAGGGAGAGAATCACCATCTCGTACCTGGCAGTGTGATGTGGAACAGCAGAACCTGCCTCAAAGGCATCCCCCAGCACCAGCTCAGTGTGAGAGCAGCATGACATTTACAAATCAAGTGCTACAATTTCCCCCCCCATTGAAGCTCTGCTCAGCCTCAAACAACATCAATAATGAGCAAGCACCACCACCCATTTAGGTGGTGCCAGCTGGCAGCAATCCAACATGGCCTGCTCCCAGCAAGGCATAGGGAGGGACATGAATATTATTTCACCCACCATGCCCCACCCAGGCATCCAGCTAAGGCAGTAAAAACAATACACCTAGATCTCTTCACCAGACCTTCTAAAAATTGTCTTGCAAAGGGTTGGGGAACTCAGAAGAGATTGATCCTGCAACTAGCCAGGTGTGATGCATGCAGCACTCCCAGTTCAGGGTGAGTTGTCTGATGTGAAGCAGAAGCCATTTCTTCATCCTGCAGAGCACTGGGCCCTGCCACAAAGCACCCCCCAGGCTCTCCGGGTGCCCAACTGCCCCCAGCAGTGACCACCACCCTTCATGCTGTGCCCTGCTGATGGATGTCCCAGCCCTGCTGTCAGGCACAATCTGCCCCAGCCTCACAGCCACCCAAATAGGGCCCATGTTTGCACCCACTGCCAGAAAACCCACCCTCCCTGCTGTTTCCCTTGGCTCAGGCAAGGCAGGGAACATTCTGGGGGTCTTCCATCCATTGCCACAGCTGCTGCTACAACCACTGCTGCTAAAAGCAGCTATCTCCAGCCTCCAGCAGTTTGGAGACATAGGTAATCTTTCTGGAGTAATTACCAGCTCACTCCCTTAGAGGAGTTCATGGATGAGTCCTCCCGGGCAGCTAATTACTTCAATTACTTCCTGACACAGAGCCCAGGGCTCTCTGCAGCAGCACACAGCACTGCTTGGCAGTTCCCTGCTCCTTCTGTGCTTCCCTTCCCAAAGCAGCAAGTGCCCCAGAACCCCTCCTCTGGGACCACAGAGGACATGCTGGTGCGGGTGGGTGGTGGTGAGATCCTCCCATTGCCAAGGACAAGGAGCTAAACGGTTTCTCAAGACATGCCCCAGGTGCTTGTTCAACATGGCTGCCTCACCTTAAGGGAACCCTGAGCACCCCTTTCTCCTACAGGCTTATGCAGAAGAAAGCTCAGCAGAACTTTCTAGCATAGGGCTCCCTCTGCCTAGGAGGCTCACAGGGAGTGAAGCCAGCCTATGTTAGGAACAGGACTGGGCCGTAGCAGCCAGTGACAGGTTCCAGACACCTAAAGGAAAAACAAGTTATTTGCAAGCAAGCTTGGGAAGAGGGGGTGTGACAGAGCAGGGGGATGGATTTGGGACAGACACACCACCTGTGTATTGCATCTCCTCATAACATGGTCACCAAAGCTCATAATGCCCTGTCAAAGGCCTGAGAGTAAGACAAGAGTCAGTCCTGCTGACTCAGGAATCCACCTTGTAAATGCAGAGTTTGGGAAGCTCTCCCCCCACATCTGTAGGTTGCTCTGACTTCTGACAGCTTCCTGGGAAGCAAGACCAGGTACTGCAGTTGTCAGCACAACCCTCAGTGGTACCAGCCAGCCCTAGACATCTTACAGCTTAGTCCTGCACAGCCATGCTGACAGACACCACAGGAAAACTCGCACACTAAGGGGACGAGGGCTTTTGGAGTCAGGCAGAGACCTCCTCAGCCTTATGCCTCAAGATGCTCATGGGGCAGAGGTGCAAACAGCTGGTTTCAGCTCCCAGTACACCACCACCACTTCAGGGCAGCACCACCAACATCTCAGACATTGTCACTGCATCCCTGCTGTCACACAGGGCTATCTATGCATACTGGGTTTTCTCCAGCCTTGCATCTGTTCTGGAAGGCAAGCCTTAGGCACTTACCAAGGAGAGCACAGCTCCAGCCAGGCCTCTGGAGAGGAGACATCAAGCAGCAGACACTACCCACCAGGAACCAGAAGAAGACCATCTCAGGAGAAGGGATTGAGGTGTGTACAGGCTCTCTGTGCCCATTTGAGTTTTAGAAAGCAGAGATGGAGGGGAAACCTTGCCTAGAAATCATGCAGTGAGAATGAGAAACCACACAGGACTAGGAGTGGAAGAGTATTTATTGCTTTGGTTTTTTACAAGTGAGAGATAGGCATCCATGCTGCTTGCAGCACAGCACAGGGGATGCAGGGACACTGGGAACACAAGTTGCAGTCTCTCTGCATTCTCCTAGACATCAGGGAAGAGAGACCCTAGAAAAGGCAGCTGCCAGCTGAGAGAATGGTTTGTATGGAAAGTTATTGCTACAAGACCTGGAAGGTCAGGGACAGCTTCTCCAGAGCCTGCAAAAGGCACTGACTCATAGCTTAGCATGCCCAGCATACAGATTACAGTGAGGACACAAAAAACCCTCATCTACCAGCCTCTGCTCCATCTAGGAAAGATCAGGTCAGCCACAGACTGGTATTAAAAGCCAGAGCTTCGCTCACCCCAAGTGAAGCTTTTATTGTCTTTAGCTGGAAAAAGCCCAGACCAAAGATGCTTCTTACATAAAGCTGAGCACTCCCAAAACCTCTCCTCACCTACAGCTGAGCCAGAACTACTCTGCGCACTGATGAGATGCTGTGGCACCTCCATGCTCATCCTGCACATCCACATTACTCGTTCAAGCAACTGCCACAACAGAGAGACCTTCACATCCTCCATCTCATGAGGCCCAGCAGCATCCCATGACATGGCACAGTACTACCTCCCTTGCTCATCCTCTGAGCACAAAGAGAGGAAAATTACCTGGCCCCTCTCCCTTGGGATACTCAATGCCTTTTCCTTCCACTCCTCCAGCCTCTGGGAATAGGCACTGTGAGGATGCTCCCATACCTGACTGAACCACACAAAAAAGAACGCCAGAGACTAGGAACAAAACAAAACCAAACCAGAACAAAAGTTAGCAAGGCCCCCAACCTGGGCACCCCACTAGAGAGCCAAAGGGCACATCAGCAGAGGAGCTGTGGCCAAGCAAGCTGGCAGCTGGTGCTCAGGCATCCACCAATGTCAGCCCATCGTGCAGAGCACGCTTCCACATGTAATAGGTGGAACGGGCTGTAAGCGGGAAGCGGGCACTGAACTCTTTGTAGGTTGGGAAGGTCTTCGACTCAAAGCGCTGCTGCAGGAACAGCTTGGCCTGTGCCTTGAACTGGGCAGTGGCAATCACATCCATCACAAACATCCGGCTGTTGGCTCTCTCCGACATGGCATAGCTCGAAACGGTGGTGTTGCACGGCATGGCAGGCACTGGCTTATCTATGTGCTTGGTGGCTGCCTCCAAATGGCACTGCGATTTGAGGCCTGGCTCTGCTTTTGGAGGTGCCAGGGAAGCCACATGGTTCAATGGCAGGCTGGAGCTGCTCCACGGCAGACGATGCTGCCAAATGGTTTGGCCACTGCCCTTCCAAAACCAGTAGGCTGTGGAGGAGAGAGATGGATAGCGCAGGCGGTACTTGCAGAACGGCAGCTGCCATTGCTGGACCTGCCTCCTGGCCACATCTCGCAGCTGCTTTCTCCAGCACAGAGAAGGATGGAGCTGCAGGAGACTCCTGGACGCTGACCGGTCTCCATTCCGTCTCTTCCTAACAGGCACGCTGCTTGGCTTCAACTGCAGGAATGGCTTTCCTATAGCTAGAGTTTTCTGGTTATCCAAGGGTGATTGGGGGTGTTTGAAGTTGGGGTTCTCCTTGATTGCTTTTCTTCGCCAGTTATAGTAAGTGGACCTGGATATGCCAGGGAAGCTGCGTTTGAAGCACCTGTAAGGCACCAGAGTGTTCATGGAAATGCATTTCTCCAGGTAGGATTTGGCTCCTTGCATAAAGATTCCTGCTTGAATGGGATCTAGGGAAGGACTTGAGGATTTTAAGCTCCCCTGTGGATTTGCTGGCTCATTCACATCAGCCTTTTTTGGGACAACCCTGTGAAGTTCCTGCAACCTGTGGGCCTCAGACAGAGCAGAGGCATCACCATTGACCATGCTCTGCATCTCATGCTTCCAGGCATAGTACGTGGATCGGGAGATTTCTGGAAACATTTGTCGGAAGTGCTGGAGGGGGATTACATTGCCCTCCTGAAAGCAGGACTGGAGGAAATGTTTAGCTGCAAACCTGGCAGCCGCTTTCTGCCGGTGTTCACGAGACTGGCGCTTCCAGCGGTAGAAGGTGCTCTTGGTAATGCTGTAGCGATCACGCAGGTTGGAGTAGGTCAACTGGGGGTCACTGTTCAGCAGCTCAAGGGTCTTCATGGGCTGGACAGGAGGCTCTGGTGAAGGTATTGTGGGTTCCAGCTCCTCCAGGCCAACCACAGCCACAAAGTACTGCGCTTTGAAGACTTGCCGGGAAAGCTGCTGCCCGGACCACATGATGTGTAGCGTGGAGGTTCGTGGGCCGCACTTCCTGGGCCGGATAAGCCGGTTAAAATAGGGTCGGATCTTCAAGTTGCTCATGGGATAGATGGAGTAGATGTTACACTGCAGTACTGAGGCAAGAGCATAGACATGCCACATGTTGGCAAAGGTTCCAGGAAAACAGGTAGCTTTGATATCAGCATCAAAGATGGCTTCCAGGATAGCCATGGGGAGGCTGGTCATCTCTGGGGTCTCCTCAGTGCAGAGGGAATAGCGGGCAGCCTGCAGCATCACTTTGGAATCAATCATGCCATTCAAGTAGTATTGTTTGTGCAGCAGCATCTCCACCACAGTACGCACCTGCAGCTCCAGGCTGAGGCTGGGGTTGCCCCAGAGCAGCACACTGGCAGCCTCAAAGAGGCGGTTTCCCTCACCTTTGCAAACGAGAGGCAGCATGTTACTTGGGGCATCCTCAGGATAGAGGCTCCTGGCTACCCGGTCAACCTCCAGCTCCTCTTGGAACTGACTCCCACAATAACCAGGTAGGGAGAAAGATGACAAGGTCCTCTCTGCCTCCAGTGCAGCACTGGTGAGGCCCTCCAGACCAAAGCATTCAGTGGCTTCTTGTAGCTCCTGCAGCACAGACTGCACCAGCTGGTGCCTCTGGATCATCCTGAAGGATGGCAAAAAGAAAGAAGTCACTGGAGATGAAGTGCACCCTCCAGACTGGCAGCAGCCTGGCCTCCACGTCCAGCTCCTGCCCAAAGGACAGGATGGGGAAAAAAGGTAGAGGAAAGGCTACCATGCGCATTCCAAGGACTAAGGAGGAAGCCTCAGTCCTCACCAGGCAGACCTGGGAGTGATACATGGGCTCAGCTTGCTCACCAGTGACCTCCTGTGGGCAGCACATGTGGCACACAGCCTCCACTTGTCTAAAACTAAGGAGTGACCTCACCCATGGGGTGGGAAGCCAGGTCACCTCCTGCCACTGCATACCTGGCTTTGGGTCTGGCATCACCCCTACACCTACCTCTTCCAGTAGTAGTTCCATCATTTCTGTTTTACTACTCCCCTCCCAGCACCCAGAGAGAAGAGTTTCCCTCAAAAGGAAAATGTTCATCTCTGCAGGAAAGGACCTGTGACAGAACCACCCCGAGTGAGGCCATAGATGCACCTGGCTCAAGCTGTTCAAGCTCAACAGAAGAAGGGGAAAGGAGCGTGTCTTCTCCCTCAGAGCAGGGCACTGCAGCTGCACTCATTTCACACACCAAAAACTGCCACAGAATCTGGGATGGAAGTGAGAGCCAGCCCAAGCCATGGCTACTGCTGCTTGGGCCGACACTAGATGTCACTTGCTGCTCAGCCGACACACACCACCAGCTAAGGAGAAGGCACAAAAGGAGGGCTTCCCCTAGATGAACTACCAGATGAACTTTTGAGGCAACCCAATAGTACAGACAGGGTGCAAGCACTGAGTGGGTATTTCAAAGTCTTTATGGAATGCTCCTCCTTGCCTGAGCAGGTCCCAGTCCTGTCCTACCTCCCCCTCTGCATGCCAGTACCCACTCATGAAATACAAAGGGCCAAACCTGCACTGCCCTCTTTGTCCAGCTTTTGGATTCCTATGTGGTTCTCTCTTCACCACTCCAGGATCTTTCATGATAGCTACACAGCTCTTAGCTTCAGCTTCATCAGTGCAGCCCTCTTCAGCATCCTTTCACTGTCAGGCTCAGGCCTCTCCCCAGCTAGCCTACTCTCTCCCTCTTGGGCCAGTTTTCTCCTGGGGACCACAACACCTCACTCAAGAAGCCAAATCTCCTCTATTTTCTCCTAAGCTTCATTCTCATATCATGCCTAATACGTACAGCATCACTTTACAGCCTGCTCAGTTCACAGCCCAGCCAGAACTCACCTTCTCTCAACACTTCACAGTTATCACTATGCACTCAGTTCTCTGGGGTACATGAGGAACAGCAGAAGCAGGAAAAGCAGCAGCTTTGCAGTAAAGCAGATGTCCTGCCTGAACTCTCACAATTTTCAGCCTTGCTGCAGAGGTGATTATTAGTGCTGTAACATCTGTGGCCCCTGGCCATGACCAAACCACATGAGGTGCCACAGAATCACATGGATACATACAGGCTCTTCATCACAAGAAGCCTCTGTGCTGCTGCTGCCCCTTGCCTTTAATCAGATCACAGGTAGTCACCAATTGCATCCCTTCCCCTGCTCCAAACTCCTCCACAATCTCCTGCATGTCAGAGGCCAGAACATTCTTACAGCTGCTCCCACAGCTGTAGGGCATCAATTACTAGAGACAAACACAGGAGAATGCACACAGCTGTGAAGCAGAGAAGATTAAACTAGTCCTAAAATCCTGGCCTGAGAAGGTATGGAATTGTCACTTCAGGTCAGGTCTACATTGTTATTTTCCTAGAAGTCTGTAGAAATTTACAGTAGTTTATAGATATTTTGACTAAGCCTATGTTGAGTGACATGTGCTTGAGAAGCTGAAACAAAGACACTGCTCAGGGCAACTTATAGGGCTGACAGAGCCCAAGTCCTCCCTCTCTGTGGTCTGCCAAATGCTTTAGGGGCCAGCCACCTCCCCTTGCAGCAGCCAAGGTTTGCTGAGCACTATCCTACCAGAAGAGCCAAGAAAAGTAAGACAGACTTTTTTCTCCCTGAAGAGGTTGAGGATATACTTGACACAGGCTAGAGAGCATCAGCAACAACCCTGGTATTTCTGTCCTAGTGGGCATTTCCCACCCCCTTATAGACTGGGGGAGATAGAGAGAGGGAGAGCTGGAGGCACAGCTTAATGGCCATTAATCCTTTTCTTCAGCAATAAATCTACAGCCTCAATGTCACTGTCAGCTCTTGCTGCCCAGAGCAATCTTAAGGCAAAACCCACAGCTGAATCAGCAGCAGAGAGCTCCTGGGGCAGGTGGAGAGGCGCTTGGCTAAATCAGAAGCAGAAATCAGACAAGTTGGGGTGCTTGGTGCATGGCCAGATCAAACCCAGCAGCTCTCGGCATAGAGGACCTGATGCAAAGGGAACACTTTTCCCTGCACACCCACCCAGGGAAGCATGCTGAACACTACAGACAAGTGTTCACTAAACTACCTCAGCACCAAGAAGTAACCAAGGGAGCTTCTCGCTGCTGATAAAAGGTTTTACCTAACCTGGCCACTTTTGCATCGTAACAGATAAGGAAACAGCTGCAGGTCACGTTCCCTCACCTAAACTGATGGGCTGGTGGCATCCAGTAGTGCAAGTTCCCCCAGCCAGTCCCAAAAATGCTCCCACCAGCAGGAATCCAGGAGACTTCAGCCCCAACTACCCAGGACCCCTGGTACCTCACAGGAGCAGGGTTATCCATGCACTCCAGCCCACCTGGGTTAAGTGGCTCACTTCTCAGCCCCAGCTGTGGGTTCAGGCCACCCCAGTAGTAATGGCTCTCATTTGAGAGAAGGATATTTGAGCTACCAGGACCGTACAGCAGAGCACAGAAGTGGTAGTCTCCAGGAACTGTCTAGGCTAGAAATATCACCGGAGGAGCTCCAGGGGTGAGCAGCAAAGGCAGCAGGATGCCCGCTACATCTGCCAACATCCACACGTCCCCCGAAGCTCAAAAACGGGGCGTCGCTCACCGGGAGAGGGAAAAGCCTCAAACCCACCTTAACCTAGGCCGAAGCGCTGCAGCCAAACCCGGCTTCGTCCGCCCCTCGGGCGGGGGCACTGAGCGCTCGGGTGCGAGCGGCGCCTGACAGACACCCCCAGCCCCAGGCACCCGCGGCTGCTCACGCCTCCCCCGAAGGCGGCGGAGGTGGCTCTGTGCGGCTGCCCCGCGACGGGGACGGCCCCGCACCCCGGGTGGGAGCACAGGCGGCCGCTCCCCTCGCCAGGAGACAAAGGGACACACAGCCCCGGGCCGGGGGAGAGGCCGCCGGTGCCCGGGCAGCTGCCGAGCGGAGACCGAGGGCAGAACGGGACTGGACGCCCGGCCGGAGATGGTGCCGCCACAGCGGGACAGCCCGCGGGTTTGGAAGGGATGGCGAGGAGCCGCGGCCCCGACGGCGCCCAGCACGGCTCCGCACTCACCTGACTCCGCGGGTCAAGTCACGCCCAGCCCGCACCCTGGGCCGCCCCGCACCTTTAAGGGCGGCGGCAGGAAGCGGCGCGGAGCCGCGGCCGCCCCGGTGCCAGCCCCGCAGTGACCCCCGGGAGCGGGCGGCCGCGTGCGGCGCCGGGCCGGGCCGACCCGGGCCGGGCCGCCCCTCCCCTCCCCGTCGGCCCCCGCCCTCCCCTCCCCCCGCCAGGAAGCGGGCCATCCCCGCGGCCCCGGCCCAGATGAAAGCGGAGCGGGCCGGGGGTCACTTCCAAAGCTAAAGTGATAATGGCCATTGTGCCGCCGCCGCCGCACTTAAAGGGCCCGCCGCCTCGGGCCGCCCTGTCCCGCTGCGCCCCGAAGCGCCCGGGCACCCTGCGCCCCGAAGCATCCTCTTTCCCCACACCTCGCCCGGGCTTGCAGACCCGTGGCGAGTGGCGGAGCCCCCTGGGGCCACGGGGTGGGAGCTGGGCGCTTGCGCGGGGCACCCATCGTGTCCCACGGGGAGCAGGCAGGTCCCAGGTGAGTGTCACTCCAGCCCAAGGGTTGACACAGCCTGTATGTCTGCTTCCTTCTCCCAGCTCGCTCCTGATGAGGCCACGGCCCTTCTCTCCTGTTAGCTAGGAGATGTCCTTTCCTCTTCTCCTTCCCAAGTGCTGTCCTTTCACCAGCAACGAGAGGCTGGTGGGAACCCTGGGTTCCTAAGGCAGATAAAGCTGCCCGTCTAAACCTCATTTGTCTGTGGGAGGCATCCAAATAACAGAAACCTTCTCCCTATCCTCAGCTCTAGGCAGCCTCCTGGACAGCCTTACATCTGCCTGCTGGTGCCTGGGCCCGCAGTGGAGTTGTCTTTCTCCCCTTTATCTCTGCCCTGCTGCCTCCTCAGCCTAATCTCGGGGCCGAGGTCCCCCTCCTTAACTCCTACTCTCACAATGGCTTCATCCTGTCTCTTGGGCATCACGTGAGGCTGTGCAAACAGCCAGCACATCAGGCACCTTGCTCCAGCATTGCTAAGTTGCCAACACCACCTCCACCCTAGGGCCTCTTCACATCTCCAGAACTCTAGAGCTTCCTCCAGAACCTGTCTCATCCCAATCTACACTATCCCAAAACAGGAATCCAAGGAGCCCATCTGGTCTTGGGTGTGGGGCCTGGGTCCATTTCAATGACAGGGGTCATAGTTTGGTCAAGAGGGAAGAGTTGGGATCTTTGCTAACTGTGTCAGTGCTTTATGTCCCCTGTGTGTGTGGAGCTCTGGTGGCAGGTAGTATTTACTTTCCTCTCCCTCTCCCCAGCCTATCCCTGGGGACCAGCCTGAAACCTGCCACAATTGCCCAAAATCCAGTGAGGGGCACAAAGTAACTCCTGATGCAAAAGATAGCAAGGGCTTCCTGCCCCAGATGCCTCTGCCCTTGGGGAACCTCACTGTGGCACTCATTTCTGCTGCAGCATTTGGCAACGAGAGGGCAGGAGGGCTCACAGAGACACCATGTATAGGATTCCTGTGCAATTCAAGAAGCGACAAAGATATTTCAAAGAGTAAATGTGCCCAACTCCCTCTCTTGCTGCCTTCCTTTCCACTGTAGTCCAGGGACAAGCATTGCCACACAAAT